CAGATTTCCCAGCAATTAACACATCATCGAAATAGGGCACCGTGCCCGGCACCCCCCTGAGCAAACCTTCCATCAACCCTTGAAAGATTCCTGGGGCTACGTTTACTCCGAATTGGAGCCTGTTTACCTTGAATGCCTCTCTATGCGTAACGATGGTTTGGGCTTCTGATGCCTCTTTGGTCACTGGTAATTGCTGGTATGCTTGTGCTAAGTCAAGCTTCGCAAACACTTTTCCCCCTCCCAGGGATGCCAGCACATGGCTGATGACTGGAACCGGGTATGAATGCTGCTGCAAGGCACGATTAAGGGTGCACTTGTAGTCAGCGCAGATTCGTATGGACCCGTCAGGTTTAATGGGCGTGACTATGGGGGTTTCCCATTTACTGAATGGGACTGGTTCTAAAACTCCTTGCTCGATCAATCGAGCTCAGCCTCGATTTTCGCCTTGAAAGGAATGGGCACTTTTCTGTATTTTAACCGAATAGGGGGTACTGCAGGATCCAACTCAAATGACACTGGGGGCCCTTTATACTTCCCCAGGCCTCCCCCAAACACTTCCGGAAACTCTGCATACAATACTGCCCATTTATTTTCAACAACATGGTTAACCCCAGTAACAGCAATACCTAGAGGCGCAAACCAATCTAAACTGAGCAAGTTTGTTCGGTTTCCCTCAGCAATCAAACATGAGAGCACTGCACATTTCCCTTTGAATTCAACAGTAAAGGTATCCCTCCCCGCTAGAGGAATATGCTTCCCCTGAAAATCAGACAAGCGGCCTGCAATCGACGACGACTCCACGTAGGGTACATGCGGTGCCACGTTACAAAGCGGGATCGCTTGTGATTGGCCTTTATCTCTCCAACCTCATAGGTTGTTATTTGTACAGGGGGTGTGGCTACGTTAGCCGGGAATGTTTAAATTCGGAGAAGCCAGTGTATATATTTTGGATAGGTTCTGGCTGGCGATTGTTGTACCGTGTTGGAGAAGTAACAAGCTGAAGAATAAACCACATTTCTTGCTGAATCACTCTCCGACTCTTTCTTAAGTTCGCGACTTAACAGTTACTGATGTTGATGTGTGCACTGATAAAGCACTATTTAAGAGAAATGTCATATAAGTTTATTGACAGCTATATCAAGAGTCTCTTTGTGTGGCCTTTTGATTTTACCATTTTTAAGAAGTGCATGTCCACATCAGTTAAACTCCACACAAACATCATTTTGATGTAGACATATACAATTGCAGCAAGATTTTGTGGCGCTTTATTCATGTGACATAGTAACATGGTATTGGATCATCTCACATGTTTAGCTAAGTGTGGAACTTTACTACACTTTCACATAGTGGAAAAGTCTTTTCCTCAGCTCCTTGTCCCAAAGAAAAGGTCTGCGTATATAGTTGAGTGGAGTAGACAAATACAGCCCACAGAGAGGGAAAAATATGCAAATGAACAAAAGAAACTGGAAGCTTCTATAACCAGTGCATGACCCAATACCAGAATTAATGTTAGAAATTGTCTCATTTAAGTTACATCCAGACAAACGTGTGAAAGGTTGCCAGTAGCCAGCATGAGCCTTACCAGTTGGGTAGGCATGAGGGTTTCCAGATGGTTTCAACAAAAATACTTTATACACCTGACAAAAATTTGTCGACTGAATTTTTTAAATAAAAATGTCTATTTTATTGACCACAGTCTATATTACATTACAGTAAATATTTCCACTGTCATCCACTAGAAGTGATATTGTCTGGCAAAATAGAAACATTAATGATTCATTCTGTTATGTAGAATAACCTAAGCTTTTCCAGACCCTGACATAGAAAATTACACCTGATTTATGACCCCAAGCCTCTCTTTGTTCAGGTCTTCCCCTTTTCTCTCCCTCGCCCCTTTATAATTTTCCGGATAAATATGAGGAGAATGATTTTCTTTCTTTCTGTTGCATCTGAAAAAATGAACTCTTGAGTCACAAAAGCTCATACTGGGATAAATGTTGTTTTTTAAGGTGCCACCGACCATCTGACTTGTCTTGCCATAACAGACTAGCACAACTACCCCTCTGCAATTAGAAAGATATCCTTAGTGCACAAAAGGTTGCGGGGGGTAGGGTGTAGGATTTTCCAAAATTAGGGTTGCCAACGTCCAAGTAGTGGCTGGAGACCTCCTGCTATTACAACTGATCTCCAGGTGACAAAGGTCAGTTCACCTGGAGAAAATGGCTGCTTTGGAAGGTGGACTCTATGGCATTATACCCCATTGAAGTCCCTTCCCTTCCCAAACCCCACACTTTTCAGGCTGTATCCCCAAAATCCCAAGTAGTTCCCACCCCAGAGCTTACAACCCTATCCAAAATTTAAAAATGAAAATAAGAATACCATTTCTCCAACATTCTTTTTGCTCCCTTAAAGAACAAAAGTGCCTAGGTATAGTGCTCCTATTGGTTACATTAGGATCCTAGCCCAAGCCGAAGCTTTACATGAGATGGCAATGAGCTGGTTCACATACATCAGTTCCATACAGTTAGTGCATTCAGGTCCTTCTGAATACATAACATGCTTAGTCTAATGAAGTGACCTGTAGCTTTTGTATTGGTCAACCAACAACTTCTTTGTGGAAATGCTTTGATCTAGCATTAATGTATTCACAAGGTTTTATGGCCCTTTGTGTGAAGCACAGGAAGCGCTGAAAGTAACTGTAAGCATGTAATCTTGTGTTTTATCTCTTTTTATCCAAAGTACCCTACCCATGATTTGTTTTGTAGTAAAGATATTTTCTTTTAACTAATGTGACTCTTCTGTTTGCAAAACGACCATCGATCTCGAATCTCAGAATCCCTAACAGCTTCTCTTATGGTCTTATGTTCTTAAAGACTAACCACACTTGTGGCCGGGCAGGAGCTCTCGTGAGGCAAGTACAGAGGCCCTCCGGCGTGATGACTGGTGAGCAGAGTGATTTCAGGCGCCCCGAATGGCCATGGCCAGCCTGGCGGGATGAGGTGTGGTGGGCGGAGGGGCCTGTAGCGCTGGAGCCGGGCTGCCTCTTGAGTGGTCCTGCAGTGGGGATGGGGAGGACCCTCGGCACAGATGCATCCGGGGTGTGTGTGTCTTTGCATTTCTTTGCCCACCTGCCCCTCATTCTCTGCCACAGGTATCATGCCTGCCGCTTTGTTGTGGGCTGGGAGTGAGCGAGGGGGGGCACAGCCACTGACTCCTCCCGTGGAAGGGAAAGGGGCTGCCCCCCCCCGGCGCCAGGGTCAGGGGAGGCCTTCCTGGCTGAGCCCCTAGAGCCTGTGTGCGGGGCCCCAGGGTCACACAAGCATCCTGACCAGACGTGGGGGTGGGGCACGTCAGTGTTCTTGCTGCTCCTGTCGTGGGGTGCTGTGGGGTGTGGGCTGTTCCCTAAAGATATCGACAGGTACCTTTGGAGCTGGGCGGGGTGGTGGTGGCGGTTAATACCGTTTTGGTTGAATGAGACATTCAGGGTGGCGTAATAGAGGTTTTCCTTTTCTGAAGGGGGGGGGGACTGAGGACTCCTCGTGGGATGGCCCAAGCTCCCGAGCACTTCTCCAGTAGAGGAAAATCGAGCAGATAAGGAGAAGGGAGGGCAGGAAGGGTCGCCTCAGGGCCTTGTTCTCATGGCCCCTTTCTGACACACCCAGGGAAATGCCTATCGCCACTTTGGGGTTAGGAAGCAGTTTTTCTCCAGGCCGGGGGTCCTGGAGGTTTCTTGTCACCTTCTGGGCATGGAACAGCGGTCACTGGGTGGGTGTGTGGGTGGGGGGGGAGGGATTTGTGAATTTCCTGTCTTGTGCAGGGGGTTGGACTAGATGACCCTGGAGGTCCCTTCCAGTTCTATGGTTCTAGGAGGCCTTAGTCGCTCCCAGCCAGTCTTGGGGAGGGGGGGGAACTCCTGTCAAGGAATCCGGGTCAAGTCAATAGTCTGGAGTCCAGAACTGCTGTGCAGTCCCAGCCAGGGTTTCCTTTGGTGTGTGTGAGGGAGGGAGCGGGCGTCTGAATGTGGCGGAGCAGGAAGGGTTGCCAGGTTTGCCTGCTTGCAGGGGGGGGGGGCGGCTGGCTGTCATGTAGAAGTTGGAGCAGATCTATTCTCCCTTGCTCCGGATTGCAAAACTAGATCTAATGGGTGGAAATTACAAGGGAGTTGTTACCGGCTAAATATCAGGAGAAACTCCCTAACTGTAAGAGTGGTTGAGCAGTGGAACAGACTGCCTCGGGTGGGGGTGGGTGCTCCTTTGCTGGACGTTTCCAAGCAGAGGAGGCTGGACGACCATCTTTCGGGTATGTTGTAGGGCTCTCTTTTGGCTGTGCTCCTGCCTTGTGCAGGGGGTTGGACTAGGTGACCTTCAAGGTCCCTTCCCACTCTCACATTCTACTCCTCCTCCTCCTCCTCCTCCTCCTCCTCGTATTTCCTTTCCCTTCTGGGATGGGTTCCTGCCACCCCCTTCCTTTCTGAAGTTGTTGTGGCACAGCCGTTTCCAGGTCTCACCAGACGGGCCTTGCCCTTTAAACTTCAGCCGCTGCCCAGACTTTGTGGGAGGCGGCTGGAGCGTGGCTGTGCCCCCAACCCCCAGCCGGTGGGGAAGTGGGGTGGGGTCCGGGCGAAGGGCAGCTGCTCGGAAGAGGGGCAGGGAAGGTGGCCAAGGAAAGAGGTGGCGAGGAGGAGAGGGCAACGGGAGCGGGAGAGTAGGGAGCCGGCAGAGGTGGCCGGCGGGAGGTGTCGGCAGCAAAGAGCGGCAGTGCCAGGAGACCAGGGTGTCAGGCTTCTAATGGCTGAGTTGGCCCTGCCAGCTGCGCCTGCCCCCGCCTCCGGTGCTCCCCCCTCCCCCTAGGCGGGCAGGCGGCCAGGCCTCCTTGGTCACCTGGCCAGGTCCTTCCCTCCCACCTCGGGCTGAGCCGCCGCCGCCCTGCCCTTCACTCTGGGTCCGGCAGGCAGGCGGGCAGGCGGGCAGGCAGCGTCCCTGCGTCCTTCTGGGGGGATCATGAAGGAGGCCGGGCAGCAGCTGCCGGAGGAGGAGGAGGAGGAGGCTTCCCCCAAGGCCTCCGACGTCGTCAACTTTGCCGGCAGCTGCACCCTCCACGGGGTCAGCCATGTCTTCCTGCCGGGGCCGTTCACGCCGCGCCGCCTGGCTTGGGCAGGGGCGGTCCTGGCTGCGGTGGGCATCTTCCTCTACCAGGTGGCCGAGCGGGTCCAGTACTACCAGGAGTACCACCACGTCACCATGCTGGACGAGGAAGAGGGCAAGCGGCTCCTCTTCCCGGCCATCACCCTCTGCAACTACAACCGCATCCGCCGCTCCCGCCTGACCCGCAACGACCTGCACTGGCTGGGCCCGGAGATGCTCGGCGTGGCGCCGCCGGACTTCCCCGACTACTTGCGGGCCCTGGGCTGGCCGGAGACGGACGCCAGCCCGCCAGGGTTCTTCCCCACCCGGACCTTCAGCATGCTGGACTTTGTCCAGCGCACCGGCCACACCCTGGAGGACATGCTGCTGGACTGCCGCTTCCGCACCCGGGAATGCGGCCCCGAGAACTTCACCGCTGTGAGTCCCCCTGTGGCTGCGCCCCCGCCTCCCCAAAAAAAACCGGCCCACGGACGGGCGGCATCCACCCCCCCCTTGCCTCGCCGGTCCTCCTGCGGCTTCCCAGCCCGCTCCAGGCGTGTGTGGCCACGTCCCCAGAGCCTCGGCCACAGCCCCCCTGCCCCCTGAGCCCGTTCTGTCCCCCTTTGGCCGCACCCATCGCCCCACAGCCCGGGCGGGGCCTGGAGTCCCCAGTCCCTTGGTAGGCTGGCTGGGCACCCCCATGGAAGCCAGAGTCAGCCTCGACCGGACCGGCGGTGAGCAGGGCTCAGCCCTGGCGGGGGCAGCATCACACACCGGACCCCTCCCTTCCACAGTGGCTTGAGTGAGAGCTGGAGCTGCTGACCCTGGAGGGGGGGGCGCAGAGGTGGGGGCTTCCGAATGCAAACGTGGGTGAACGTTGGAGATGGAAAAGGGGCAGGAACGGCAGATCGGGGCACAAAACGGGGAGCTCTCCTGTGAAGGGCTTCCAGAGGAGGGGCCAGCAGCCCCCTCCCCCAGGGGCCTCTCTGGTTTCCTGCCTGCAACCGGCCCGGAGCCCTCCCCCTCCTGCTCCCCCCGCAAGTGAGCCAGGCCGGCCTCTCTCGCACGGGCCGGAGGCCAAGGCGGCATCAGCTGACCCCGGCCACTGAGCTTACAGGGGGGAGGGTTGGGGCGCTGGCACTGTTGGGGGGCAGGCGTGCCAGGGAGACCCCCTTGCACAGTCCATGCCAGAGAGCCCCAGGGATGGGCTGGGCTTCCCCTCAAAGGCCGCCGAGCCCAGCCCCCATCTTGTGTTCCAGAGCGGAGGGGGGGACGGCGGGAGGGAGGGAGGGGGACAGTGGAGCCCAGAGCAGGAGGCGGTTCCCCAAGTCCATCCCCAGGGTGCAGGCCGGAGGGTGCCCAGGCAGGGCAGCGCATGCCCCCCCCGGTGGCTTGGGTTTTTTTTGGGGGGGGTCCTCGAGCCAGAGCTCCACACTGGCGGATGCCGGTGTCCTTCCGTAACGTCCGCAGAAGCCCGGCAAGCCTCGTCTGCCCCCTCCCTCTGGATTCAAGGGGGCCGTGAGGATTTCCCCCTCTGCCGTGTGGAGCTGATAAGGACGTTGGCCTGCCCGGCAGCAGTGTTGTGAGAGCAGCCGAGAGAGGGTCCGCGCGGGGTGCTGGGCCTCGTGGTTGCCCGGAGGCCTCCCCCACCGAACCCGCCTGGAGTGGCTGCCCATCAGCCGGCCTTGAACCCGGGTCCCAGGACGGGGCGGGGGGACTTCTGTGGGCGCTCTTTCTCCGCTGGCCGCCAGGGTGGGGTGCGGCGGGCGTGTCCTGGCTCTTCCTCTCCATGCAGTGGGAGCAGGAGGCAGCCCAGGTGGTGCGGAGCCTGGCAGGGGGAGGGCTTCTCTCTCTCTCACACACACACGCCCCGCTCTGTGCCACTCAGCATCCCTGTGGGTCACTTTGCTGCCCGTCTCCAGTTCCCAGCGAATCGATTCCCTTCTCGCCTTACCGCTGACGTCTCCGGTGAGGGCATCCCGCTGGCCGGGCCGCTTCACCCAGGGCCTGTAGGGCCGGCTGGCCAGGGGGCGGGCAGGGGCACCAGGAGCCCAGTCCCAGGGCTCCAGCACATCTGGGGACAAGGTGGCCCCTTCCCAGAAGCATCTGGGGCTCGAAAGCTTGCCATGGGGCAAGACCGAGGGTTGGGTCCTCTGAAGGTGTGAGGCATGGCTGCCTTGCGCCAAACTCTGGGGCAGCACCAAAGCATAACAACAGAAGAGACCCCAATGCTGGATCAGGCCAGTGGCCCCAACACTTTGTGTCACACACCATGGCCAAAAATACCAGGTGCCCTCAGGAGGTCCAGCAGTGGGGCCAGGAGGACACTAGGAGCCCTCCCACTGTTGCCCCCCCCCCCAAGCACCCAGCATACAGAGCATCACATAAGAACACAAGAGAAGCCAATGTTGGATCAGGCCAATGGCCCATCCAGTCCAACACTCTTCTGTGTCACATGGGTGGCCCTGTCCAGGGCTTCCTGCTCCCGGCCTGCTTGTGCATGCGCAGAGTGCTGCCCTTTGCACACTGCGTGCACAAAGAGGAGGCGGAGGAAAGTGCGCCGTTCCTGCGCCTGAGCCAGGGCACACACCCCTCTGCCCGGCACAGGTGCCTCAAGCATCTCCCTCCCCCTCTCTCCCCCCGCAGATCTTCACCCGCTTGGGCAAGTGCTACACGTTCAACTCGGGGGCCCCAGGCCACGAGCTCCTGACGACAGTCAAAGGTGGGACGGGCAACGGCCTGGAGCTGATGCTGAACATCCAGCAGGACGAGTACCTCCCTGTCTGGGGGGACACAGGTGGGTCGGGCAGAAGGTCCCGGGCAGGGGGCCGATCGTAACCCGGCTCTCCCATGCTGGCTTCGCGCTTTCTTGCAACAGAAGGAGAGTTTATCTTTGTGCAGAGGGCTGACGCCAGCCGGTGAGGCCAGAGCGTCCTCGCCCCGTGCAGTGCGCTGCATCCACTCTCCCCTGTGGGTGTCCTGGCGGGGGCTTTTACACGGGTGGGGAGGGGGGGCTGACCTTGGCTGCTGGCTGTGTCGGTCTCCTGAGCTGCACCAGGATCTGGAGGCAGGGTGGGAGGTCTGGGGGGGCATTGCTAGGCCCTTCAGCGACAGACCTGAGCTACGGCGGTGTCCGGTCCCCCACAGCTATTAATCCAATACACGTTTAGGCAAAGTAGTATTTTATTAAAGCCATGATAGAGCAGGAACAAGTTCACTGTCCAGAATGCCTGGGCCAGGGTGGGCAAGGAATAATGTAAGACATTCAAACAGGGTAATAACCAATAATCTCCATTCCCGCCGAGCGGGCAGACTCCAGGTTACGCGCTCAAAAGCCTGAGAAGCAACGTTCCTTGAAACCTAAACAATTACAGCTTCACACGGTGCAGTTCATTATACATTTGGCAAAGCAGCTCCCCCACACACCTGTTAACCTTGCAGATAAGCGGTGCCTAGCGTTTACAGACAGGAATGCATGAGACAAGATCATACACAGGGAAGATAGGGCATGCGCAGATGCCAGGGGAGGGGGGGGGAACCAACTGCCTCCCAGTCTTCTATGGCAGCTAGCTGACAGCCGGGGTTTCCAGGGGTGTCATGCTGTGCTCCTGCTGGGGGGCGTGGCTGGGGCAGGAGGGGCAACCCACCCAGACCCCACCCCTGCCACCCAGTCCCAGGGCCAGCATGTTACGGGCACAGTGCCAAGAGGGCCAGGCCTTGGTCTCTGCCGCTGAGGGGCTTGGCTGGACTGGGGCGGGGGGCAGATTTCAGCTGCATGGGAGGAGGAGAAACGTGTGCAAGAGGAGGCCTTGCCGAGGCGGTGGGTTCTCCCTCGCCGGAGGCCTTCAGGCACCCCAGGTATGTCCTCCTTGTGTGGCACATGCCCTGGGACAACACCTGTGCCCACGGCTTTCCCTCGTCCCACTCTAGCGCCTTTCTTCTCCTTTAACACTGAAGAGTCGAACGCTGGCGTCTTGGCTCGGAGGTAGGGGAGGAAGGGCCGGTGCTATAGGGAGGGGGGCACTCAACCCCCCCCAGTCCACAGTTGGAAGTTGTGCAGTCTGCTCACACACACACACACACACACACACACACACACACACACACACACACACACCGGCCTTCAGTGGTATGGGTGGAGCGGGCACCAGTTTGGTGTAGTGGCTAAGTGCGCGGACTCTAATCTGGGAGAACCGGGTTTGATGATTCCCCTGGCTGGATGACCTTGGGCAAGCTGTAGTTCTGATAAGAGCTGTTCTTGAAAAAGAGCCGTTTCTGTCTGAGCTCTCTCAGCCGCACCGACCTCCCAGGGTGTCTGTCTGTTGTGGGGAGGGGAAGGGAGTCTGTGAGCCGCTCCGAGACTCCCTTGGGTAGTGAAAGGCGGGGCATAAATCCAATCTCTCCTCTTCTCTTCTCTTTGGGGGTAGCAGGGTTGGTCTCATCTCCTGTGCCCCACGGGGCAGGATGCCCTCCCCCCTCTGTGCCCGCTTCCATGGGGCCTTGTGCTGCAGGGCGGCAGAGGCACGGCAGACGCTCTCCCCCTCCCCGCTTGACCTCCCCTGGAGGGAGCGTTGCCCCTCCCTCCCTCCCT